AATCCCCCACCCCACCCCATGTGAGTTTTTGGCATACTTTTATTAAATGTTAGGGATGAAGATGGTGATTTATTTCCAAATTTCTTGTCTCTCTTTGCGAGAAGTTGGGACTGAGGGTTGTGTCCCGCCCTTTAAATATTCAAAATGTGGCAAACTTTTCTCTGCAAGAATTGGTCTCATCGACGACAGCAAATGCCACAAGTCATCGAAACCTTTAATTCTTCAAATTATTTTCTTTCGTTGGAGAAATATTCTCCTCTGTGGGTGTATTGGTCAACAACAGTGATGGCCAGGCTATTATTATTGCTACCTTAAACACCAAATACCGCTGAGTGTGAGATGCATAGAGCAATAAGCCTTATGAGGGTTTTTTGGGGGGGAGGGAGTTTTCAGTTGCTTTTTAAAAATCTTGCTGCTTAGTGCTAATCGGCAGAATGAGAAAATGTTCAAGACCAGGGATGTCTTTAAAAAAACCGTTTGGCTTTGTTCCTAACAAGTACACCTGAAAAGCTATATTCACCAGAGCAACGGTAATGGAAATGGGGAAAAGAGCAGAAAAATCAATATTTAATGTTTCATAGATTGTTTAAAGGCTTTTGAAAAAATTAGACATTATGAACTATTCGAAATTTAGCTAGACGTATATTGAAAACATCTAAAATGTACTAAACATTTGTATTTGAATCAAAACGCTGTTTTGCTTGAAGGAGAGTACAGCGAATATAAACAAATTAAGATCAGAGAGGCAAGGATGCGTTATACAGTGAATCAATACTTAGAAATAGAAGAGAAAGTTAAAAGAATGGCAAAAATAATAATATCAGATATGTCGATATGACAGTTTATCCCGAGTAGAAGTAGAGATTCAATTGGAGGTGAAGGTAGCCTGATTAATGAGGTAAAATTAGCAAGAAAATTACCACCAAAGATTGGTGACTAGAAAGTCCTTCAAAACTGAAAATGTACAATTTTATGTGCCTTAAATGCCCAGGTAGGTTGAGAAAATGAGCGAGCCGCGGCATATTGTGGATAAAGATGGCGGAAGTTTCCACGTGGGTGATGCGGGCGAGGTCTGGTTCCCGCCTTTCCCTCTCCAGAACTCCTACACCGAGCAGCTTGACATCATCAAACGTGTCAAGATCAGGGATGATGACGTCATCATGACGGGATATGGCAAGAGTGGTAAGGATGTTGCTTTTTGTGTTTGTTTCCTAGTTACTATGTTTTTTTAGGGGGTTTTTGTTTGTTGATTTTTTGTCGTCATTTTTACTCGTTTTGTTGGTCATTTTTAGGATAACAAAATGGGGGTAGGGGGGGCAGGGTTCTGGCTAACTGTCTATTTACCTTTCTAACAAATCATCCTTCTTGGCTGCAGGTGTTTGGAGAGCGTTTCTGGAAGGTCATTTTTCTTTGCTTTCCCAGTATTTGTTACTGTCTGCCTATCTTACTTTTCCCTTGCACTGAAATGACGGTTATTGGTGTCGATATGCTTCTCTTTACTCAAACAAACAAACATCTCTCCTGGTCGGTATTATAAACCTATTGCATCACATACACTAAGCAACACATAGAATATGCAACGTATAAACAACACACAAACTACTTAACACAGCGGGTGGCTGGCGGGTGCTGTGGTGTCGTTCGCTCCTTCTTTCCAGCCAAACTTCTATCTTCACGATCTCTCCTTCTTTTTTGTGGTTGCTACTCTCTTGTGATGTCTCAAATTTTCGGCATTTATTTAACTTTGTTGTGTTGCAAGTGCCTTAAAACTCTACGTGATACCCATGACAGTATCTGGTCTACGATAAAGTAATGCAAGTCTGTGTTGAACACACGCATAGCTTGGCTTCGGTAGTCTAGTGGTTAGGCTACCGAACTCGTAATTGTGAGATTGGGGGTTCGGGGGTTTGAACCTTAGCTCGGTCCGACGTTGTGTCCTTGGGAAAGGCACTTTAAACAAATTTCCCACTTGGTTTGGTCCTTTCGGAGATGGAAGTTACACTTAAATAATCTTAACAGTGTTGATAGGGGCGTTAAGGCTATACCATTTTACCATTTCAGACATAGCTTGTCATAGCTTGTAAAACTAAAAGTCACAAAACAACACATGCGTCAATATCATCATCACGTGACCCTCCCCCAGGCTCCCACTGGCATTTCGAGATCCTGACCATGCTCAAGAGGGGTACCACACACTATGTCACTCACAGCAAGCCGGACCTTATGCTGGACAGACTGACGGAACAGGAGGTGGACAATATCCCCTCCCCGCGTGTGCTCAACACTCACGTCAACTACCGCTTCCTGCCCACAGAGGCTTTGGAGAAGAAAACCAAGGTTGGTCTGAGTTTTCGTTTGTTTTGGTTTGAGATTTGGTTGAGATTGTTAGATCTAGGCTGGGATTTGGTTGACATTGTTAGATCTAGGTTTGGGATTTGGTTGAGATTGTTAGATCTAAGTTGGGATTTTGTTCAATTTTTTGTCTGAGTTTTGGTTTGAAGTTTGTATCTGAGGTTTTGGTTTTAGTTTTTGGAGTTTTTGGTCTGAGTTTGTGATCCACCTATTTACTTGGTCTTTCCAGCGATGGACTTTACATTTGAAGGTCTCACCTGGTAAGAAACCTCACAGATTTACACGGGGCACTAAAACAATACAATGACCAATGCAATGATCACTAAGTATAAGCCACACATTTATATGAAGGTGGGTATTTCTAGTCCATCTATCTATCTATCTATCTATCTATCTATCTATCTATCTATCTATCTATCTATCTATCTATCTATCTATCTATCTGTCTGTCTGTCTGTCTGTCTGTCTGTCTGTCTGTCTGTCTGTCTGTCTGTCTGTCTGTCTGTCTGTCTGTCTGTCTGTCTGTCTGTCTGTCTGTCTGTCTGTCTGTCTGTCTGTCTGTCTGTCTGTCTGTCTATGTTATGCCTATCCCATGTTATATCACTAATGACCATTTATATTCGGACACATATGAATAAGTAGTTAGCGGGTGCTCTACTATGCTTTATTCCTTATTTCCTATCAAACATCTTTGGCACTTACATGACCTAATTTTGTTGCAAGTGCCGTAAGACTCAAACTAAAACTGTCTGTCTGTCTTTAACTGATATATTACTCATGACCATTTGTAGTCAGACTAACATGTATGACATTCAGTTTGATCTATCGTCTTTGCATCACATGTCTTCCTTCTCTTGTATCTTTGTACAAGCGTCTGTTATGTAACTGGTAGACGATTTGCCACCCTACGAAATAGACCCGAGTTCGACTCCCGCTTGGGGAGTCCTGTACAGTTATCGAGAAGCCATATCCCCGTTTTTTCTGGTGGTGCATTGTATCTATTTCAGACAGGGTCGAAGTCCGCCTCCTAAATAATCGAAATTGTGTCGATGCTGGTGTAAAAAACCCATATTACTAATTTTATAGATTTGTTGGGTTTTTTTAAACGATATACACTGCCTCCTAAATCATCTGATTGGGTCGATAGTGCCGTAAAACACCTACTCAATCAAATCAAATTATGTGAATGGTGTAGATGGGGATGTGAAACGGCTATATTTATTTTTTATGAATTCATGTATCTATGTGTTTAGATCTATGTATTATTTACCGTATATTTGTGTTGTTTTTGTTGGGTTGGGTTCGTTTGTTTTTGGTGGGGGTTTTGTTTTGATTTGTTTTGTTTTGGTTTGGTTTTTGGTTTTGTTTTGGTTTTTTTGTTGGGTTTTTGGGGGGTTTTTTTGGGGGGTGCAATTTTGTTCAAGTGAAGATTAAACAAGTAGACAGAAAAGAATAAACTTTAAATGTTGTTTGTGGTCTTTCCGCAGCTGGTGCTGTTGTTGCGGAACCCAAAGGACGTGTGTGTGTCTATGTTCAACCACATGAGAGACTGGACCAAGGGAGGCTACAACGGCACTTGGGAGGGATTCTTCAACACATTCTTGGAAACTGGAAGTAGGTATTTTTTCTCAAATCTGTCTCTTTGTGTGTGTGTATATGTATGTGTGTATGTCTGTGTGTGTGTGTATGTCTGTGTGTCTGTGTGTATGTCTGTGTGTGTGTGTGTGTGTGTGTGTGTGTGTGTGTGTGTGTGTTTGTGTGGGTGAGTGGGTGGGTTGGTGTATAAAAAGGGAGAGAAAGAGGTTGGCTGGTCTCTGGTGTTATCTACTCTTTCTTTTCTATCAAATATCTATTATCCTTATTTCTCCTTCTCTTTGTGTTTGTTACTCTCTTGTAACACCTCCAATAAAGAGATACAAAATCAGTTTCTTACCATCTGGTATAAGGCTACTGTCGGAATAAGAACTAATGCGCATTGCTGTTGATTTTTCAAATTACATAATATATGATTCGTAAATACATGCATCAATATAACTCTAAAGGTATGTGATAAGTGTCTGCATGTGGTTGAAAGATGCGTCTTATCTGATATGTGTATTATTAAAATTTATTATCAGCATTACGATTCTCTTAATATTGAATTTTAATTAGCGCAATCTATAATTTGTATTCTATGTTGAATCTATACCTACATGTTTTACCAATCCTTTACAGCCGATAAACAATTCCAACAGAGATGCTAAAGTATCATCTCACCTTATCTTATCTTTTTTTCGCCTTATGAACTTTTTGTGTTGCAAATGCCGTAAATCTTTCACTAAAACAAAATAACCTGATCCCCATTCCTCTACCCCTCCATCTACACCCTGAAATACCAAAACAAATTTTAAAAACTCCATTGTTCCACTTATCCATCCCCCATCTCTTATTGTCTGCCCATTCCTTCTCCTCCCTCTCCACGCCTCAACCTCCAAAACGAATAACAAACAAACAAACAAATAAACAAATAAATAAACAAACAAACAAACAACCCCCCCCCCCGTAAGGGTGGTTGGCAGGTGCTCTGGTGTGGTTTGCTTCTTCTTTCCTATCAAACATCTATCGTCCTTATCTCCCCTCCTTCTTTTTTGTTTGTTACTCTCTTGTAACACCTCTAATCTTCTGGCGCTCAGATGACCTTATGCAGTTGCGAGCGCCGTAAAACCTCTACTAAAACATAAAACAAACCCTCCGTCCCCAGCCTGGTACGGCAACTGGTTCAGCTGTATGAAGGACTGGGAGAAGGAGTTGTCCAACCACCCGCACCACCCCGTGTTCATCTCGACCTACGAGGCCATGCAGAAGGTGACGTCATCTCTACTTGTTCCTCTGTCTCTTCGCGGTTTGTTTGTCTGTTTGTTTGTATCTGTGTTTGTAATGTTTGTCTGCTTTTTGTCTGCTTTTTTTTTGTTGTGTATGTTACTCTCTAGTAACACATATATTCTTCTGCACTTATATGACTTAAGTATGTTGCAAGTGCCGTAAAACTCTTACTAAAGCTAAACTTGTGTGCTTTTGTTTGTTTGTCTCGAAAACCGAACACTCCTGCCGTCTGTCTTCTGTATTTTTATTATTTTTATTTTTAGGGGGGTGGGGGGGGGTTCTCTGTTTAATTGTTTCTTTCTTTATTTGTTTGGCGTCGGCAGCCTAGTAGTTGGGCAATCAGACAGGTAATCGTGAGATTCCGGGTTCGAGAGTTCGAGCCTCAGCTCGGTCCGACATTGTGTCCTTGGGAAAGGTACTTTACACGAATGTCCCATTTGGCCCGGTCCTTTCGGAGACAGACGTTAAACTTGGAGGTCCCGCCTCTTAAATAATCGAATAGTGTTGATCGTGGTGTTAAACCTATACCATTTCACCCTTTTCACCAGTCATCTAATCGATAGTCGTTGTATCACAAACGATAGTGATGTGATCCTGCAGATCTAACTGTCGAATAAACGTGCACCGTTTCAACTTTCCCTCGTGTGTGGTTGTCGTGGATTCAGGTGTGGCTTGCTCTTTGTTTCCAATCAAACATCTATCCTTTATTTATATTTTTTGTATAGTACTCTCTAGTTACTTCTACCTTTACTTTTTCATCCTCTGATGCTGTTGAGCGTCGAGAAGAGATAATAATATACAACTTTCTATGGTAGGCCAACTCTGCAGCTCTTTCAATTGAGATGTTTTTTTAATAGTTTCTCAAGTCAGGGTTCCCTTGGCTTCTTCAGTCCATCTTCCGCGTGGCTTACCTCTTCCTTTATAGCCCGTACCCAGTAGTGAAACATCTACTTTTTGGCACTTATGTAACCTGTTTGTGTTGCAAATGCTCTGTGGGTGGTTGGCGGGTGCTCTGATGTGGTTTACTCCTTCTTTCCTATCAAACATCCATCGTTCTTATCCCCCCCCCCCTTTCACTTTTGTGTGTGTTTGTTACTCTCTTATAACACATTTCATCTTCGGCACTTAAGTGTCCTAATCGTGCTGCATGTGCCACAAAATTCTTACTAAAACTAAAAACTCCCTTCCTCGCAGAACCCGGTGGAGCAAATAGGCAACCTGAACGCATTCCTGAACACGCGTCGTTCACCTGAATTCTGTCGTTGCGTCGCCTACATGTGTAACTTCCACAACCTGAAAGAAGCCTCCAAGAATGTCAAAGTAGACTCTTTTCCTGGAGTGTGGAAAGAAGGGTCACCGGGATTTTTCAGAAGAGGTTTGTTGAAAGGACATTTCAATATCAAGGCCGTAAGATCTTGAATACTTTGCCCAGTAGTTTAAGAGAGATCAAATAATTTAATTCATTATAATGTCAGCTAAAACCATTTCCGTTTTTTAAATTAATGAGATAGATATTTATATTTTCTTTTGGTGTATAATGAGGTATTTCACATTTTCCCCAGGCATAGTTGGAGACTGGAAGAACTGGATGTCCGAGGAACAAAACAAGAAATTCGATGACAATTTCAAGAAACAGATGTCCGAATCTAAACTGGACATTGTGTTTGAGCTGTGAGAAAGTCGAGTCGAAAATCCCACTAAAATCTCCATAGTTCTCCCAGTAGCACTGTCGTAATTGACCAAACGTCTTTATTTTTATTTACAGCAGTTTCGAGATAAAGAGGCTTTTTTCAGCGTCCTTCTGAAATTGTGAACCCTAATAAATTCAAAAATCTATACTCTAGTCAATTTCTCTTTGATCTTTTTTCCACACAATTAGGGTAACTGATCAGGCTTTCGATTTTGCACCTTATAAAAATAAAAGAACTGACGCCAAAAATGAAAAAAAGGGAGTTTGTCAGCTTACGGCAGAGCAGACATGATCGAGAATTCTCTAGAATACTCTAGATTATTGAAACATCTTTAATACATCAACTGATTGCCTACAATAATGTATCATAATCATAACTTGTTGCACCTTGAAATTATACTTTGGTACAATATTCTAAGTGTATTTTGATTTTGTCCTTTCTTAAAAACCTCGTTCAGTCAGCTTGACGCCAAATGGGTTCAAGTAGCTACCTTAAAATTACAATATTCTATCTGATATTTTTTGTTATTTTGAGCTACTAAGACCATAAGGTCAGAAAGCAAAATGTTCTATCTGCTCTGTAAATACCGTAAGATTAGCTCTCACTGGCAAAATTGAGGGCAAGCGAGGCAGGGGTAGGCCTATAATAACATACTTAGGGAACCTAAACAAATGGGTAAGCGAAGTTTTTTTGAGAGCATCCGAGCAAAGGAATGAATGGGAAACAATGATCGCCCATGTCTGTCGCAGATCAAGCACTGGATGACGATGATGATTCGAAGTCGCTGTTAAGATATTCAAAGATTTACATTCGAAACAGCTTGACATGTGAAACTCAAAACTTTAGCGTCCTCTGTCTCAAAACAAGGTACCGAGCAGATACAACTTTGCAATTCTAGGGTAGCGAATTGTGAACTCTTGCCATAAACAAAAACTCTTGAAATTGTTCAAGAATGTCTCCCAATGTCAAGGACGAAACTGGTTGTCCACACTGCAAGTGCAAGCAGTGAAATCTATACCATGTGCTTTGCCCAGTTAACTGTGTCAAGTTTTTCAGAGTACACACACACACACCCACCCACACACACACACACACACACACACACACACACACACACACACACACACACTATCAAGGGAGATGACAACGTTACATGTTTTATCATGTCATTTGTTAAGTGTGTTATGTTTCCTTGCATGTACAGCCCTAAATGTAGGTCATTTCTTTTTTGTGTCGGGGCTTGTACGTCCCAATCAACACAATTTAAATCATAATGATTGGAATCGGGCTTCGACCCTGTCAGGACCAACCCGGACAGAGATGGATACAGAAGAATGACCAAGATACTCGAGGAAAACTCTCCACTTAGCGGAATCAAACTCGAGTCTTATGCATGCGACAGTAAGGCACTTAACTACCACAGCACAACATGCGACAGTAAGACACTTTAACGGGTGAATCAATGTAACCTAAACTTTGCACAGCAGTTTGTATCAATTTATCTTAACGTAGATCTATTCTTATGTTGCCACAACAATTGAGGCTAGATTTTAAAATGCATCTTCATGAATTTATCTGTCCCTGTCGTTTTATGCAAGAAAAATTCTGAAATTAAGCAAACTGGGGCCAAAAAATGTGAAATTATGCGATTCTGTTAATTTTAACAAAGAATGATAAAGGAAAATAATAAGAAATTATGCAAAAATGATCAAATTTTGCTAAATTATGCGAGGTGTATAAAACCACGAGGACAGATTTATATAAAATACTAAAATGGGGCCAACTGGTCACCCCACAGCGCATATAGTAGTAGTACCATTGCGTGTGTTGTGTGAATTCATGACTACACAGAGCATCCCGCCCGATCACTGACCTTTTTTGTGGGGGTAAATGTATTACCGCGCTCGCAACTGCATAAATATTATATGTGCGCGCGGGACGCAGCTACTATTTTGAGTTGGTAGGAAGTTTTGAATTTTGCCCGGTTGGCGGTGGAAGTCTACTCTTATCGATTTTAGACCACTAAGGGGTCTTCCTTAAATGTGCGCAAATTGCCCACGGGACCTCCGAGATTTTTGCCCTTGTCCGAGAAGGCTAGGGGTAGATCTTTCCTACCCGAAGATCAGAGGTGTGGCTGAAAGACAGCAATAAGGAGGAGTCAAGGGGTAGCAGGAGAAAGAATGCAGAAAGATCAGGAGCCCAGAGGAAGGGGCAATGGAGGTGAAGGGGTGGCGGCAGAAAGAGTAGACAAAAGCAGACGAC